TTGAGTGGGACTTGGGGAAAAGCCATATCAGAGGTCCCCACATGGCCCCCACTTTCCATGCGATACCACTTTTCTTTGCATGCCCTGTGAAGTCGCAAGGAACTTACTGCTACCCTCGTCTCTTCCATGGGCACTACCATAACCTACAAGTATGGGAGCTGATTCTGCAGGGGGCTGCACACTCCTATTTGTGCCCGAGACTAAGCTGGGTCTTGGTCCTAAACTGTGAATCCCCATATCTCTACCACAGGCCCTCATGAAGCCAGGGTTTAAAGCATTACTCTCTGTATCAAAATCTACTCTTTACTTTCTTGCTGCCAGAAACACAACTCAAACCAATTCACACCATCAAAAGGTTTCAAGGTTCATATATGAATACCTGACCAGTGTAACTCCACGTCATGGACAACCACTAAAATGGGAGGTCAAACTCCACATACATATGATATGTCTAAATATATTCTACTGTCATGTGTGACTAAAATGAACAAATAAACATTTAAAGGGGAAAATAAAAGGTACCAAGGAGTGCCAGGCTTGTTGCCCACACCTGTAATCCCAGTGGCTCAGGATACTGAGGATGGAGGACCACGAGTTCAGAGACAGCATCAGTAACTTAGACCTAAGCAACTCAGTGAGACCATGTCTCTAAATAAAAACACAAAAAGGCCTAGGGACAAGGCTGTGGATAAGCTCCCTTGGATTCAATCCCTGGTACAAAAAAGAAAATGAAGGAAGGAAAGAAGGAAGGAAGGAAGGAAGGAAGGAAGGAAGGAAGGAAGGAAGGAAGGAAGGAAGGAAGAAAGGAAGGAAAGAAGGAAAGGTTCCAAGAAGTGATCATGCTTCAGGCATGACTGGATCTGCAGATACAAATGATGTCATAACACCTCACTCTCTCTCCCAATGGTTCTTTCCTCTGGATTGATTCTTGCTCAAATAGGCAGGCCCTGCCTCAAGGTGAAACAGGTCACCAGCAACCTCATCACTCAACAAAAACAGAATCTTGTCTGTATTCCCACCAGCTCCAGATATGAAGACAGATTCATGAGTTTAAAGCAAGTGTCAGCAATTTAGCAGGGGCTAAGCAATTCAGTGAGACCTTGTCTCTAAATAAATACAAAATAGGGCTGGGGAGGGGCTGGGCTTGTGGCTCAGTGGTAGAGCACTTGCATGGCATGTGTGAGGCCTTGGGTTTATCCTCAGGACCTCATCTAAATAAATTAATTGATTAAATTAAAAGATCCATTTATGACTAAAATATATTTTAAAGAAAATGGGGGATGGGGTGGCTTGGGATGTGCCTCAGCAGTTCAGTGTCCCTGAGTTCAATCCCTGGTCAAAAAAAAAAAAAAGAAACACAGAATTTCTTTGACCTCCAAATGGTGAACAAAAACAAGAACACACATAAATAAATTAAAAATGGATTCTTCATGCATTGTACAGTTATCACTGAGTCAAACTTTGAGGCCAAAAGACACTATGTTCTAATAAGTCAGGCCTCAGTCTCAAGTCTACTCTGAAAAACAGGTAGTAATCTCTAAAGGAGAGAGGATCAATAAACAAATATTAAGAATATAAAATGAAGCCAGGCATTGTGGCACATGCCTGTAATCCCAGACCTTGGGAGGATGAGGCAGGAGGATCATGAGTTTAAAGACAGCTTCAGCAACTTAGTGATGCCCTAAGTAATTTAGTAAGACCTAGTCTTAAATAAAGTACCAAAAAGGGCTGGAAGTGTTCATTGGTTAAGTGCCCCTGGATTTAATACCCAGTTAAAATACACACACACACACACACACACACACACACACACACACACACACAAAATAAACTGACATCTGAACCCTACTATTATTTTTTTATTTCCATCTGGGAGGAAATCTCTCAATGTGACAAAGAAAAATGATGAAGCCACTGGACATAATTTTTGAGCTGCCTAGTTTACCAAATATTCCCCTTGTCCTAAGGAATCTTTACAGCCAGCTCAGGAGGCAAGTAGTACCACCCTATCCTTTATAAAGATGAGGCAATTGTGACTTAGAGACATGAGATGGCTTGGAGATATGTTCAAACAGGTAAAGAATCAAAGACTGTGAGCACATGGATGCAGAATAAGAAGGCACAGACACCAGGCAACTTCCAGTGTGTGACTAACTCCAGCAACTGCTCCATCAGCACATCCACCCCTACTCCTCACAAGCTGCAGCTGGTGATAAAGGCTTCTCTCCCTTATCCTTCTGAGGCTGCCAGTTTCCACCACATCTTTTTCCTGAAATTTTTCATGCTCCAGCCTGTTTTTCTCTGGATCCAGAAACCTCGGGCTCACTTTCATTCACTGCCTCACCATGACACTACAGAAGTTTCCCTGCTGTGTTGGAGTCTTCCTAATTACTCTTTCCCTGGTCTGCATTGTGGCCAATGCCCTCCTACTGGTACCTGATGGGAAGACCTGGAGCACTGACCAACTCAGCTTGCAAGTCCTGCTCATGCCTGGCTTCATCGGTGGGGGATTGATGGTGAGGAGTCTATAGAGTACAGACCAGTGACCAGGGGTGTGGGCACAACCATAACGGGTTCTGAGTGGGAAGGGAGGGGAGAGGGAAAAGTATGGAGCTCCAGAGGGGTGGCCAGTGCTTGGTGGGGACAAGGAATGTGCCAATCCTCCCCTACACACTCAGCATTCTGTAGATAGCCCTGGAGGAGCCCCCCAACAACCTGAGGTAAATGTCTAAGGGAAGGGGAAGGCAGGGAAGGGAGGCTCAAGTCTCTAAAGAGCTTCACTTCTGTGTCAAACATGTCCTATGAGACCCTCCCTTGCCCTTGCAGCTGAGCAGATGTTGAGGACCCCTCACTACAAAGGACCAAGCAGAAGGAACAGCTGGTTGTGTGGAAGGTTATCAGGGCAGGATAAGAGGCATTGAGGGATGCAGAAAAAACGTCTAGAACCAGACAGTGATGTCACCCATCAGTTACTCTACCTCTCAGCTCAGTGTTGCCCCCTCCCTCCTCCTCATCCTCTGACTCTCAGCCCACATTCTGGATGCCTACTCTGTGCTGGGTGCTAAGAACAAACTCAGAAGCAGGTCATTCAGGCAGAGAAGTTGCCCCCAAGGTTTCCTGGAGAGAGGACCTGCTAGGAGAAGTGGAAGAAGAGGGGTCACAGATTTCTTGGGTCTCCTATTCTAACTCTTTCCCCATTTAGGAGAAATTTTGGATGGTCAACCTAGTGTAATATATTTGTGGGGTAAAGTTGAGTCATCTACTCATCACAGATCCCCTCTTTTTGGACAGCTGAATGATAATATTCTCTAGAGAGGGTCTCACCTTGTCCCATTTTCTGCTCACCCACCTCCCATTAGCAAAGTGGGATACCTCTCCTTTACCTAGGAACTCCCTCTTACTTTCTGAGGTCTCTTCTACTCCCCATCTCTTGCATCATGGCTGTTGGACTCTACTCCATCTCTCTGACTTCTATTCTCTCTGAGATGACACACTCCTCCAGGACTACACACTTGCCCATTGTCACATCATGTTGCTTCTCCAACCTAAACTACCTCACACTCCTCCTGCCAGTCTAACTAGTCTTCTTCAGAGGCCATCTTCAACACTATGCTTCCATCATTCTAACTCACAGATATCTTCCTCCCCCTCTACTACTTGAGTCACTCTCAGGAAGTACCATATTATGCCACAGACACAGACAAGGTTCCTGCTCTCCTAGAAAACTGTGTACCTTTTAGGGGGCCAATGGTATAAAGAATCAAAACTAGAAACTCCATGAGAGCAAGTACTGCCTGTTTTGTTGGTTGCTGTGTGTCTGGTGCCTAGACCAGTGTCTTCACCTAACAGGAACCTGGTTAATAGTCACCGAATGAATGAAGTAATCCATAAGATGATTTCAGACAGGAGTAGGTACCATCAAAACTAAAATAATTAGGACTGAAGGTATAGGTCAGATACTTACCTACCATGTGTGACACCCGGGTTTGATCCCTACTACTACTACTGCATAGTGAGGAAGAGAGAGAATCAGAGACAGAGAAAGAGAAAGAGACAGAGAGAGAGCACAAGCTATGCATATTAGCACATACCTGAGAGACAGAAAGAGCACTATGCATAGTAACACATGTCTGCAATCCCAGTTACTTCAAAAGGAAGATAATGCAAGGTGCAGGGGCACATGCCTATAATCCCAGCAACTCAGGAGTTTGAGGCAGGAGGATCACAAGTTTGAGACCAGCCTGGGCAAGAAAAAATTGAAAGGACTGGAATATGCCTCAGTGGAGAGTGCCTTAAGGTACAATTGTCAGTACCAGAAGAAAAACGGGCGGGGGGAGAAAATTATAAATTTTATTGAGGCCAATGTAGTAAAATTAGAATATATACAAATGTGTGTGTGTGTGCGTGCGTGTGTATATGTGTGCGTGTGTGTGAATACACTGCAGTACAGCTCAGGGGCAGAGTGCATGGGTTGTTCAATCCCTAGTACCACAATAAATAAATAAATAAATAAACAAATAGATTTATCATATAGAGCTCCTAGCACAAAAAGTTTGGGGATTTTAGGGTTTGGGTTGTTTGTATGTGTGTGCATGCATGCTCACTGTGTATGAACTCAGGGCCCTGTGGAAGCTCAACACATGCCCTACTATTGAGCTGTATCCCTAGCCCCAGCTCATTGAATTTTTACAAAGTGGACATATCCACATATCCACTACCCAGATCAAAAAACAGTTAATGGGCTGAACGGGTTGTGCCTGGGCTCCCTGTTGTGCAGCTGCGGAGAGGTGAGGTCCCAGAGGTCCGGGAGTCAGCTGGTAGCCGGATCAAGTGGGTCACATCCGACAGCTTTCCTATAGCCCAGCCGCTTTTCAACCACTTCAGAGTTGGGGCGCCAGGGACGCCAGGGTTCCGCCCGCTCCGGCGGGCCCTGCGCTCCAGGCGGTTACCCGGCCGGGGAGCGGCGGGCGGGGAAGTGGCCCGGGATTCTCGGGTCGGGGTCTTGCACCTCCGCCCCAGACTGCTCCGCCTGGTCCGAAGAAGTAGCGGGTCCCGCTAGGGTAGTTTGAGGGCGGCTGAAGGTGGTGCGCAGCCTCCGGAAAGTTTTGCCTCTTCCCCACAAGTCTGTCCCCCGTTTTGTAAACCTCCCTATGGTTCTTTTGGCGGGCACTGGAGTGCGTTTTACCAATAACCCCAGGTGAGCCGTGCTCTGGCAAGTAGAGTGCGTCCTGGTGGAGGAAAGTTGGAGAAGTTTTATTCAGCTGAGTGTTGTTGACTTGTTGCGAGCAGCTGCCATCCCTAAACTGGGCCAGCCTAGTGTCCGGTTTATGCCTGGTGCCCTGGCAGATCTCTTTGGATGCGACTCCCTTTGAAGAGCTGATGTAGCGCTTCTCCCTTAAATGTGCTCAGATCCCAGAAGATGGGTGATAGGTAGGCAGATGGTCCCATTTCCCACTTAGAGAAGAAAAAAATTTAAGGTTTGTCAAGGTTACCATCACCTAAGTTAGGGCAGCCCTTTAAACCCATCTTTTTCTGAACTTTGACTTCAGTAATCTACCCACTACACCACATTGCCCAACAGGCACTGGGTAGGGTTATGGTAGCTGGCTACATCTTTCAGGAGTGTTTCTAGGCTTAGAGATCACCTTTCCAGCATCTCATTGTTACTTGAGTAGGAAACCAACAGGGCAGAAGTTACATATGTTTAAAACATCAGATCGAAACACTGTATGTGTACATTTCAACAGGTAACTTCAGTGACTCTTATTAGCACTGTTTATTTGATGAAAAGAGCATAACAAAACATGTGAGTGATCTTTCTGGTTAAAAGTGTTAGCTTTTTAATAAATATTAATTTTTTTTTTTTTGCTCTTTGAGACTGAAAGATTTCTGTAATTCATTTTTGCCTTTAACTTGTCCTTTGAACTGGAGTATATTAGACCTAAATGTGAGCTTTCCTGGTGACTTTGGGACCCGTATGATATGACTATTGCTATGCAATACTTGTTCACCCTGGTACCAGGAAGGTGTTGGGAGTGTACTTCTATGCTCTTTTTCTTTCACATGTACTTTTGAGCATATTTTTTTCTTACCCATCATTCATAGTACTTGCTGTTCTTTAAAGTATCTGCCTGGATCAACTTCCTTGCCTTTGAATCCTAGACTGCCTTTGGTTGTGAGAGCACCTTGTTAGAATTATGTAGTGCCTCTAAATAGTGCATCCTGTAAATAAATGAGAAAAGCGAAGGTATCATAGATCAAGAATTGGTATAGGGATAAAGTGGCATCTCTTTTGATGGTATTACAAATTTTAGTTATTTGGAAAACTTGGGATTGTCAGGATTCAGACTTGCAAGTACACAGGTTTCTGGTACATTTTTAAAAAATATATTAGGATGTTGCTTTTAACACTTATGTATTGAGTACCTACTGTATGCCAGGAATGTTTCAAGACTGTGATATAGGAAGGCAGACCTTATTATGAGAACAAATAAGAATTTCAGATAGTAGTAAATGCCATGAAAAAGAAATGAAATTGGGCAATGGAATACAGAGTAAAGAAAGATAAGTGGTAAAGGACCACTTTAGCCACAGTGGTCAGGGAAGACCTTTCTGAAGCAGAGACACTTGAGCTGAGACCTAAATAATGAGAAGAAGACAATGGGGCAGCAAGTGAAAAGACACTGAGGTGCAGTCATGCAAGAAAACCTCAGATTTGCTTCATCAGGAGATGATATTAAAATATGGGATGCATCATCCATGACACTGGTGGATAAATTCAACCCACACACATCACCACATGGAATCAATTCATTGTGTTGGAGCAGCAATAATAACTTTCTTGTAACAGCATCTTCCAGTGGTGACAGAATAGTTGTTTCAAGTTGCAAATGTAAGCCTGTTCCGCTTTTGGAGCTTGCCGAAGGGCAAAATCAGACATGTGTTGATTTAAATTCCACATCTATGTATTTGGTAAGCGGAGGCTTAAATGGCACCGTTAATATTTGGGTTTTAAAATCAAAAAGAGTTCATCGGTCTCTCAAGGATCATAAAGATGAAGTAACTTGTGTAACATACAATTGGAATGATTGCTACATTGCTTCTGGATCTCTTAGTGGTGAAATTATTTTGCATAGTGTAACCACTAATATATCTAGTA